AGAACATTTGGTATTCAGTTCTTTGTTTCTGTGATAGATCAGTAAGGATGATGGTCTCCAACTCCAACCAATTTGCTGCATATTTCATGATACTCCAGCGTGTATATGGACCACATTTTCTTTATCCAGACCATTTGTGATGGGCAGTAGGGTTGGTTCCATGTTTCTGCTCGTGAATAGTGCAGATATAAACATGTGTGCAAGTGCCTTTTTGGTAGAAGGATTTATGTTCCTCCAACTCTATTCCTGGGGAATTTTTTAAAAAGTTGTATAGTAAGAAATGTTTGCCAAAATGTTTATTTGCAAATTTCTTGTTTAGCTATTGCATTCATTTATTATTATTTTGGCTTGAAATATTTATTTTATTTTTTTCCCTTCAATTGTTCCTCATGGTAGAAGTATTTGTTTTAAATGTTTATCTATTAATCTTTAATAAATAAAATGACTCCAAAAAAGAAAAATTTTAAAAAAGTCCTCATGACTGTGACAGGTGCCACCACTAGTCCCTCTCCTCGCATTACGCTCTCCCTACACCTGACAACCTGGCAGAGCAGGGCTTGTGATCATTTTTTTATTGTATCTGAGCACTTTGATGAAGTTGATATTTAACATTAAGCAATATTACTATAAAGTACTATTTTCCTCTCTCTCAAAAATGGTGCTTCCCAGAAATCTGGTCCTACTCAGGTGAGATACTCTCCTACCACTGCAGAGTCTGCTGGTCCTCTGGAATGAACCCCCTCAGGGCAAGTGTGACTCCCAGAGAGTCAAGTCCTGAGCTCCTGATACGGGTTAGGGAGCCTGTCTAACATGTGCAGAGAATGTGAAGTTTTACACTTGTAAGTCACTCATGGCACATACGACTTCTCATTCAAAGTCCAGTGCCTCTATTAGATTATAAAGGGGTCAGCAAACTTTTTCTCCAAAGGGCCAGATGTACACGTTTTAAGTTTTGCGGGCTATAGGGTCTCTTTCACAGCTACTCAGCTCGACCTGTGACCCTACTCAGCTCCCTTTGAGGGCTATAGGATCTCTTTCACAGCGACTTCAGTCACAGAAAATGTGAAGATGAAACAGGCTGTGTCCCCATAAAACTTCGGGTTAGGGTTAGGGCTCGGTGAGGGTTGGATCCAGCTGGCTGCCCCTGTTTGCAGCCCCTAGATTAAGAACTCTGTTCTCCTGTGTTATTTGCTGCTGCACTTGGGTACCAGACAGCACACACATGTGATGTCTGATACATATTTGCTGAGCAAATATGCTGTTATTTTTTATGAAAACACTTCCCCAGACTGGTAACCACATAGATAACCAGTCAATGGACTCTCATTTCTCCCTCTCCTCCATTCCAGCCTCTTGGGCATTGCATGTATTGCACCTGCGTCATGGGTTCGACCCATTCAGCAATCAATTTTAAAACTAAACTAACTGAGGAAATGAACCACAGAGAGCGTTTTTGGAAGTATGCATAGTCACCGGCTACACTTGGAAATGCAGATATTTGAATGTGTCCCAGATAGAGAGAAACCCCTTTCATTCCAAGTAATGAATGAACTGTAGGTCAGGGAATAGCAAGCAAAAACAAGGTTGAGGGACCAACAGCATTTGTGATGGCGCTCGGAGTTCATGGGGCTGTAACCCGAGACAAGATTCAGTGCCGTCAACATGACTCTGAAGGCCAGCAGGTCAGGGAGGGTGGCATGTGGACATGCAGGGTGACATCTCTCCAGTGCCTCCTTCCTATTCCCTACTGCTCCAGTCCATCTTAGCAGAAAGCTCAGATCATCTCCTTACTGTCACCTCTGGCCACCCAGCTCATTTCCACAGATGCTATCATGGGTCCAAACAGCAACAGCATCCAATTAAGGCCTCAAAGACGAACCCTGAAGCTTCAACTGTTAAAATCTTTCAAAGGGATTTCCTCCACCCCTCCCAGCTCAGTGTCCCCCTGCTTCCTGGGGACACAGGGGTTGAGAGTGGCACTTGCGGGCTTCTTCCAGCCCAGCCATTTTCTTCCCTTCTCCTCCAATTGCCATATCTGCGCTAGTCTCAGTCACATCCACTCCCTCCACATTGTGGTGTTCCGGGGTGAAGGTCGCTGGGCTTGGGACTGAACTACTTTCAGCTGAAAGCCTCGGCCAGTTGTGTGACCTCCAGCCCTCCTGTCTCTGAGTCATGGTTTTCTACCATATAACGGACATTAAATTCCTAGAGTACACAGTCAAGCCTTCGTGATGTCATTTAAAATGAAAGTAAATTACAGGACTTTGGAATCCATCAAAGGCTAAACAGATTTAAGATGCACTAAGATGCTAATAGGCAGGAATACAACTCGTTGTTATCTCCTGGAAACATAATTTTTTAACAGAAACTTTCAATACATTAGCCTTGAAGAGAGACTCGGGATGGGCTTTGCATGGATCCTGCCGGCTAGTGTATTCTGCCAGGCACGGCACTGTCCAGGCACACCCCATGGCCGCCTTCTCCACCCTGCCCTCTACACTGTGGTGAAAGACTTAGGGGAAAAGAATGACTTGAACACGAACAAATGGAGTTTAGTGTGACACCCTGACATCTGTTGGGTGGGCCCATAGAATGGCAAATTACTGAAGAAATGTTGGGTTATCTCTGTCGAGTAGACAGTGATCAAAAGCAGAGGTGTGCTTGAGTTTAGAATGAGGTGAGTGCAGGCAGCCCGTTTTGGCTATTCCCCCTGCATCTGTAAAGGGCTGTCGGTGGATGAAGTCCCAGCAGGTGTCTCACTTGGACAGAAAAGAGCCGGTCAGTGTCCAGCAATGCTGTCTCGGGGTCTTTGGCTCTGCACCCCTCAGCAGGCTTGCAGAAGGAGTTTTGAATACACAGTATGATGGTAGGGTTTTGCAAACATAAAGTTAGTAGCATCCCTGAATACCGATAGGATTGGCACTGGTACAGAACTCTGGGCTGGCCCCTAAGTTAAGACAGTAATGAGACACGGTCTCTCCCACTAAGGAGGAGGTGTGGTAATACCTTAGGGATAATGCCACCTTGATGGTGGAGAATGAAAAGGAGGAGGAACCTTGTTCACATGAAAATAACCCCATAATTCTTAAACTACCTAAAGCCTGCTCACAGTAAAAATACGGTTTGCTATTTTTTTGTGCTATTTTTTTTTTTGCTTTTTAATGTGATTCATGAAGTGAATCATAAACTTTTAAAAGTTCTGAACCTGGGCAGCTAACCCAGGGGTTCAGAACCCCAGGACTGAGGTGGACAACAGAGCCCCCCAGAATTTCTAAGCACAATGATGCATGTGTGTAGCTTTCCCCAGAAGAGGCATTAGATGATTTGTAATTCTCACATACATTGTTGAGTGCCCCAAATAAAGGTGGGTGAGAACTGACATCCAGTCCCATCCTCTTCTGCTGAGGCAGATGGGTCAGCCGACTTGCCTCTGCCCCCAGCACAGCTCCCCCAGTCCTCCCACACCTCCTAGAAGTAGATGTTGCCTAGTTGTTCCTGGGCTTCCTGACACCTCCTTCCCATAAGTCTATGGGCTTCTATAGGGCAGGACTCTGGCTCTGTCCCCAGAAAGTCTGTTCGCAACCTTTCAGTGACCATCCTCTGTGCAGGCAGAGAGGAGGTAGACAGGCTCAGGATGAACTGACAAACATGGGCCCTGGTCTTAGGTCATTGGCCATCCTCTACGAGGAAGAGTGGAGGCAAACAAGCTCTGGATGGACAGATGGACACAGGTCCTGGTCTCAGGGCACTTCTTTTTTTTGAAAGCAGGATTTATTGAGAGGACAGGAAAGCTCCCACAGTGGGAGGGGACCCAAAGGGGTTGCCCAGGGCACTTCTTGTCTGTCATTCTGACATCATAGTTTTTGAGTTTAAGTGAACTGTACAGTAAAGACATAGTTCAGATTTGCTAAGATTGATAAGATGTGTAAGATTCGGTTGCAGTTCAAAATTCCAAGTTTTCCTCCTGCAAGCTAATGGTGAGAAATTACTGAATTTATTGGAAGAAAGCACAGCATCACTGGCTCATCTCCTGTGCACCAGGCACGGGGAGAGAATGCAGAGAGGCACCCCTGCGCCTGGTGTGCCAGACTGCCGACTGTGTGTCGTGACTAATGACTAAGAACGGCACTGAAGAAACCCTGGCCAGCTGCTTCACCCTGTCCTGTCAGTCATAGGATGGTGGGCAGCCTGTAGCCAAGCAGAGGACACACAGGTGATTTTAAGCATGAACACCCACATGGGTTGGTGGGACTGCTCACCTGCAGCCACTTGACTGTTGAGGGCAGCAATCATATTTTCATGGTTTGTAGGAACAGCTGACTTCCCAAGTAGTTTTGTCTGTTTGTATTTTGGAAATTAGTCAAATTGATTAATGATAACATTTTGGACACATATATAAAGCATCTGGTTTTCTGTTTGTAAAAGGAGTCCACTTCTTTTCTCCTCTACAAAAATCTGTTGCCTAGAAATGCACCTATGAAGTGTAATAAACACAGAAATTCCTTGTGACGATTTTCACTCACGCAGTCACACTACTCCAGGCACACATGCACACACCCAGCATGTGTATGCACATACCCCCACCATGCACACAACCACCACAGGCACATGCCCACCACATGCACACATTCACACATCCACCATATACACACACACATACATGCACACACCTACCACATGCACATATTCACACAAACCAAAACATGCTTGTCCTGGGGACAATTTGAGTGATCTGAAAGCCACTGATGTCTGAAACTGGCTTTAAAATTTGACATAGAAATTGCTGAAGTATATTTCCTTAATTCCTATGCGATAAATAAATAACCAAGGGTCTGATTATTCTTAAAAGACTTGAAAGCAGATGCTTCGGGGGTCTAACATTTTCATCTCCGGAATGTGATCAGAGCTTCTGACAGCTAGCTCAGGGTTACGCCCCTTAGAAGGGAAGAGCTCTGACACAGTGCAGGGATGCTCAGAAGAGTGAGATGAATCTCTCTTACGTTTGGTGGTCTCCAAGGGGTCGCTGCCCGAGGGACTTCAGCAGCGGCTCGGGTCGGATGGCCGACATGGGTGATGTCTTGGGACTGGAGTCTGACTCCCCGCTCTCCTCATCCCCCATGGCTTTGATGTAGCTTCCGCTCCTCATCCTCCGGCAGGGAATCTCCTCCGCTTTGCCGCCAGGGGGGTACCCTCCCCACTCGTCCTGAGGCACCTGAAGAGAACAGATCCACACACGCGTCATGCTCGCCATGAGAACTGTGCCTGAGCTCTCGGGGGAGCAATTCGCTATAATTCCGTGAAGACATCGCTTTCTATGGTCATTCACCATTTAAAGATAGATGCATAAAAACACACGCTCCTTAGAACTCTGCCATCTGCATCCTTAATTAACATGTATAAAAGTCATAGGTATACGCTATGACAAAAGTGAGAACTGTGAGAAAAGTGGAAGGAGAAAGAAAACATGGGTAATCTCTGAAGCTAGGCTAACATGTAGATTTATTTCCAGGAAACTGAAAAATGAGAAAAATAAAAATAGAAGAAAAAAGGAAAAGAGAAAAAATGAGGAAGAAAATGCCTATATTGTACCATACACGTATTCCTTATTTGAAAGCTAATAAAGGAGAGAGGTTTAACTCTAGAGGCCATACATACTATATCATATATGCAAAATGCCTGTATTCATAGAAGATAAAGGATATTTCCTGTGGCAAAAATACATGCTATGAGATACAATGTTGTGATGTGCACATGATAAACATCTACCTGATACAGACTGACACTGGGCATGTTATACATATACTTGACATAGAATATTATACTGTGCATGTTATATATCTACCTGACATAGAACTGAGCACTGTGCATGTTATACATCTACCGGTATGGAACTAAGCACGGTGCATGTTATATATCTACCTGTATGAAATTGAGCACCGTGTATGTCATATATCTACAAAGAACTGAGCTCTGTGCATGTTATACATCTACCTCTACAAACTCAGCATTGTGCATGTTATACATCTTCCTATATGGAACTGAGCTCCATGTATGTTATATATCTACTGTGCAGAACTAAGCACTGTGCATATTATATATCCACCAGTATGGGTTTGAGCACCGTGAATGATATGTATCTACCTGTACAGAACTGAGCACTGCACATGTTATACATCTACCTGGTCAGAACTAAGCACTGTGCATGTTATATATCTACCTGTACAGAACTTATCACTGTGCATGTCACATATCTACCAGGATGGGTTTGAGCACCGTGTATGTCATGTATCTATCTGCACAGAACTGAGCACTGTGCATGTTACATATCACCAACAATGACCCTACAGGGTGCCCATTCAAAGCTTTTTGTTAAGCTCCAATTTCTGGGCAGACCAGAGTGTACAGGCGATGAGGCAAGTCTGATCTTGGTTTCACCCACTATATGTGAAAGCTGAATTCTACCTTACAACAAGGAAAACCTTGGAACTGAGTGCCATGTTCCCTACAGCTAGGCCTGTTCTATGTTGCTGAGTGCTGGGGCTCCTTTCCCTATGAGTCATTCACTCTGAACAGCTACCTGGAGGCTCTGGACAAAGTTGACTTCATGAGCCTGCTCACATGTGCAGGAGAAAAGAGTACAGCCTGCTGCAGCTGAGTCTAAAGAGCTCTAGAACCATCAAACAGCACAGAGCTCTGCAGTAGGGGAATGGGCACAGCGTGTTCTTCATGCTAGGGAAGAGAAACTCCCAACATACTCTTTATGGAGGAAAACAAATCAACATTGCTCTGGCAGACTTGACAACTTCGTGTTACGGCCAGGACAGGACTGGGCAGCGGGCAGGGAGTATCCTAGGCAGGCAGGGAGTATCCTTCCCACTGATCCTACGTGGCCAGGTGCAGGCGTCCAGACAACACGATGTTCCTCACACCCTTGTGGGTCATGACGCAGTGGGTCACAGCTGTGGCACTCCACTGGTCACCTTTGGGTCATGTGAACTCACAGTGATCCCACCTTAACATGTGGCACACGGACATTCACATGCTGTGGCTAGGAGGGGTTCAAAAGGATGGAAAGTCCCAGGTTCACAATTGTCCTGGCCTTCAAGCGGCCACGAGACACAGGAGGACCCTAATGTAGTGTGGAAACTGGACAGGTGGCGTCTATGGTCCTCTCTGCCAGGTTTTCCTGAAATCTTCATGATCAGGTGCTCTGTGCTGTCTCTGCACAGGTTCAAAGAGGGAAACAAGCCACATGGAGAAGGAACCATGAGGCGTCCATGACCCACCAGGGCAGAAATTGCACAGATATCATTGCAGAGCCATGAACACTGCAGGTAGGGTAAGATCAAGGCTGGGACACACAGCACGTTTGTGGCACATTAACAGTTGAGAAAACAGGCATGAATTTGCCAGTGTTTATTCAAATTTTGTTATGAATTTTGGTTTCACATTTCCTGACAGTGAGGATATTTGAACATGAGGGAAAAAAGTGATTAATGGGGGATAAAGAATGAACATCTCTGGGCATTTAACATTTCTTATCTATCTGTCTTCTTATGAAAAGGCAGGTTTCAACAATCGCACACACACAGATGGCCAGCATGGAGAAGAATGTCAGAAGCAGGCATCTCCCCAGCACGCTAGCCAGGTGCAGGCTCAGGGCAGTTCTCAGAGAACTTCAGACACCCATGCCTTTTGACCTGACAACTTCCTGTCCACAAAGATGTCCTAAGACAAAGCGATCCAGTGCCTGGGACTAGGGGATTATTCATTAGAGAAAAAGGAGAGACAATGACAATACCCTATCACAGGGGATGGCTTAAACTATTTATCACAACTGTACGATGGAGATTTCAGCTGTCTGAAATCATATAGCAGAAGAAGACATATTTAACTATGAAAAGATGTCTATGGGGGAAGCATTGCCTGAGCACAATATACAATCTTTCTCATGCTTTAAAAAAAGCTATGCCTGCCTCATGCACAGGAACAGCTAGACAGATGCAGATAGGGATCATCGCTGGGAGCTGGACTTCTCAATTATTTTTCTTTATGCTTATATTTTCTAAATTTTCCACATGGACCTTTTGCAATTAAAACAAAACCTTATTATTATTTTTTGAGTTGGAGTCTCACTCTGTCGCCCAGGCTGGAGTGTAATGGTACACTCACGACCACTGCAGCCTCAATCTGTTGGGCTCAGGTGATCCTTCTACTTCAGCCTTCCAAGTAGCTGGAACTACAGGCACACACTACCATGCCTGGCTAATTTTTGATTTATTGTTGTGACACGGTCTCGCCAAGTTGCCCAGGCTGGTCTCGAACCCCTGGACTCAGGCAATCCTCTCGCCTCTGCCTCCCAAAGTGCTGGGATTACAGACGTGAGCCACTGTGCTGGCCAAACAACACCTTATTTTTAAAGTAAGAAAAGCCACAGACCTGAGTGACATCACATTTTGGTACAGGAGAAGGACATGAAATGAAGCAGTGCAATTAGGGCAAAGAAGTGGGCACAGGAGGGAGTGTAGAAGGGCCGGAGGTCACACTGGCAGACAGGAGGGGTCCAGATCAGGGAAGACGTCCTGGAGGTGAAGTCTGTGTTCCAATTAGCTTCAGTCTGACCAGCAGAAAGTATAGGCAGAGGCTTGGGCCACCAGCTCCCTGGCTCACAGAAGCTTGCCCCACCCGCTCCTCTGGGAGATTGACGGAGGATGCGGTTATGGGAAGGGAGGCTGAGGCTGGCCGGCGGCAGATGGAGAAGCGGCCCAGCTGCCATCAAAGGAGAGACTCACTTTGGCAGGTTTGCAGGTTTTTTTTTTTTGTGAATTAAAAACATGTTTCCATAAAAAACAAAGTAAAGACATTTCCCCCAGAAGCCTGCAAATTAACTAACAAATGAGACCAGCTTGTATGTTTCTGTTTCTGATTTAAGAAGCCAATTTTGCAGTCTTTGACAGAAGAAATTTCAATACAGAAAGAGTGTCAACCAGAGTCAATTTCAGAGTAAGAATTCAAGCACCAAATACCGACTCCAGAGCATATGTCTGGAGACCATCAAAAGAGCAGAAGAGCGAGCCTAATGCCAGGATGCCTCCATAAGCAAATCTCTCCCCGCTCTGTGCGTGTTCAGAACCCGCGCCCAACGTGAGGGTAGCCAAGTGCACGTTCTGGAGCATCATGTGGCTTCATGGCTTCTAGTGAACGATTTCCCCACCAGCCTCTGCAAATGCAACTTGTGCCTTTGCTGCATTTCCTGGCAATCGATTACCCTAATTACCTGCTTGCAGGTAGTGACGGATGATATTCCTAATTTCTAACAAAAAGGTCTTTTTGTGAGGTCATGTCAGCACTCATTTCGATACCTCCTGCCTCTTGCTTTAGGAATAATTCAAGGTCACATATTTAAATACCCTTTCTTTCTTTCAAGCGGCAGGGCACAGGTGGAAGGGGCAGGATTTCATAATTATATTCGCTTTCAGGAGGTGAATCTGAGGAAGAATGTTATCACCCAGAGCTGTGTCTTCCCTGAGGGAAGTGTCTTCCTCATTCTTCCAGGTTTCAGCGTGTGTTTCAAATGCACACAGAGCGCACCAGCCACTGGGTCAGATGAGATCCAGATGGCCAGGCTCTGGCATTCCAGATTTTTATGGCCAATGATGACTGAGGGTTCTAGAAGGGTGCCCTCCAGAGTCACTTGGAGACCCCACTGGGGCAGACTCTACCGCCCCCCCCCAGGGAGCATGATGAGATGCAGGGCCCAGTGACTGATGCTAGCTTTTGGGAAACCAATCACACAGCAATCCCACCCAGTCCTGCTGGTTTCCGAAGGTCAGTTTTTCTCTCCATAATTATCTGAGCCTTGGACCTAACTCGGGCTTTGCATCTAAATCTGTCTTTCTGCGTCTTTTTTTTAAAGCTGGAGTCTTACTCTGCTGCCCAGACTTTGATTCATGTGACTAGTCTCCTTGGACCTGCTCTGTTTCTCTCACCCTTGTGCTGTACTTAGGAAAGGAGGTCACAGGCTCACACAGCCCGAGAGACTCCTCCATTGAATGGCAGGCATGAACCTCACTTGCCCAGGGCCCCTCAGGGTGGCATGCCCATGACACCTCAGGCCTCATTCAGGACCACGGGGCCCATTTCTGGCTGCCGATGGATCATGGATGTGTCTCTCCAGGGCATACCCTTAGCAGGAGAGAACTGTCTTCCTCA